TTTTTGTTGTTGTTGTTGTATGCAGTTTCCAGCAAACTTTAATAAATTTTTTTCTATTTGTGAAAATTTCTACGTAATTCAAAGGTAATTTTTATTATATATCTTACACAGCATTAATATGATTTTGGATGTTACAGAACTTTAAAATTACTTTAAAAAATGAAAAATAATTATATCATTTGATTTCAAGATATTTTGTATACCTTAAAAATAACTAATTCTATCCCGGGAAACAGTTCACTTTTATCCCGGGATCCCAAGATAAGCAAAAGACCGAGAAATGAGAAACCCTAGTCTCTGATGAATCTAAAGTAGCCAATTATTTATGGTAAAAGTCCAGTTTACCTTATACACATTTGGAATCTTCAAAAGTGTTGTGTTCAGAGTATTAAATAAATTATAAACATAGAAATGAACAATAATTAGATTATCAAAACACACCTTAATCGAAATAATTTATTGAAAACAAACTAATGTTTTCAGCCTAATCCATACACTATTCTCAGGTTAAACCAGAAGATTGGAACATTGGTTTTTATAATATTTTACATTTATTTACAATATATGTGTAATAATAATTGAACAAAATCATACAAAGAATCTTTTATACAAATACAGTACGAGTATTTTTAAAATTTACTTTAACATCTATAATAATAATAAAATATCCAACAGACGTAAACCTGTTCTAATTAATTAAGAGTTTATTTTAAATAATATGTATTTAATTATTTGTGTTCATATAAAATTATGTACTGATTTATTTAATCGATTATTCAATATGTAGGTGCATCATTTGCAGAAAGTTTCTACAGCTTGAAACGTATGCCAGTTGGTTTATATAAAGTAGTGCAAAAATCAAAAAAGAATTGGCTGCCTAAAAACATTTTTATTACTCACTATTACTGTTGACATTAGATCCCTACATTAGAGTTCAGTTGCTATTGCTTTATAACAGTTTGAAAGATAAAGATTTTTTTGGTGACCTTGGACATAGAAAGGTTTGTATTGTTAAAATATCTTATATTAATTTCTATTTAATAATAAAATATGAAAATGACTTGCATTTTTTCTTCGGTTTTTCTAAAATATTTTGTTATACGTATTAAGCAATGTACATAGTGGCCAGGAAAAGATGTCGAAAAGTGAAATGCTCTTGTCAGTTTACTGAATGCTCTGATGTTGCTATTTTTATGTAAATAGTACAATATAGATGTTGAAATTTGAAAGTGACTCCATTTCTTGAAAATGCCTTTTTAAATTGGAGTTTCTCAGCATTGAGGAATGACTATTTATAGTGTAGAAATATTATATTTGAGACCCATGGCAAGACATCATTGGATAGTCAATATCTAGTTCATGCAAGATAGTACATATCCACACTGAATTACTTTGGAGAACAACTGCCATGTAGCCTTGACCTTTAACCCATGTGACTTTTTATATGGGAAGTTATTTGAAGGACTGAATCTTCCAAACTAGCCCCAAAATTATTGAGGACTTCAAAAAGCCATTGAAAATGATATTCAGACTATTGACCAAAAAGTACTGGAAAGCATTCTTAGCAAATTCCAGTTCCACTTCTGTATTGCAGCCTGCAGTGATGATGGCCATTTTGAAAATCTGCTGTATTAATTTCACTTATTGCTTTAGGTTTTTGAAAATTTCAGTAAATCCAGTAATAACAAAATTGTGTAATTCTACTTCTTAACACATTTGGCCATTCTATAGATTTTATATATATATATATTTTTTTAAAATCAATTTTTAAGTAGAAAAGTTATGTGGACATCAATTGACATGTTTACAAGAGACACCTGTGCATTATAATTTATACAACTAGACTTATTTTATAAGTCTGATTACTAATGGATATAACACAGGCTTGATATATTTGAATCTAATTACACGTAAAGTTATTCCTTAAACTCTAATCCAAATTTGAATAAGGTTGCTTAGAATTATTTCTAACATAAATATAATATATTAATAATCTTATATCACAATTAACATTTCTCAAACTCTATCTGATACTATCACTTTCAAGCTTTTCTTAGTTCTTCTTCACAAGGTAAAAGAATAATTCAAACATTTCATTTTTCATCCACTTTAATTCAAGAACAGTTGAAAATTTGAAAGAATTTGAACTTTGATCAAATGTTTGTAGTAATTTTATTCATGAAACTAGCTATATAAATGTTATAATTATTTGAAATTAAATCTGAAAATAATAATTTTTTCATAAACAATAGACAAATTTAATTATTTTAAGTATAAAAAATAATAAATATTATTATTAAAATATTAAAAACTTATTTAGAAAAATTAAATTTGTCGTAATTTAATTTTTTAATACTTTCGTCTTTTATATTTTATAGGACAGAACAAGAAAGCTAGCAAAATTTTATATAAAATGCTATCCATATTTTCATTTCTCATTGGAATTTATAAATCTTGTTTATCAAGTAAGCTATGCAATAGGTAAAAGTGCTTATCACAGTCCTTTATTGCATATATCTAATACTCAGTTGAGAACGTTAACTCATGAAGATCAGATTCTTTTGGAAAAGAAGAAAACAATTGTAAATAAAAATATCAGGTATGATAGCTGCTTCTCTTATATGATATATTTTAATGATAAATTTAATATTTTTGTACAGTATTTTTGTAATAAATTATTTTTATGTATTTAAGTAATTAAGACAACTTTAATTTTATGAAAAGATGATAAAATATTTAAAAGTTATATTTTATAAATTTTAGTCTTTTAAATTAGGTTACTTCAATGAATATGTGAATAATATTTTATATGTAATTTGATGTGTAATACTGTACTTGATGTATAGTATAATATGAGAGCTGTTTCATAGTTAAGTTACAGATCAAAATTAAATCAGCATGTACAAGTATATTGCAAAAAAAATGTTGAAAAATTTAGTAAATAGTAAACATAAATGTTTATTTTTCTACATATAGTATGAATGCAGATTCATGCATTTATTTCAGCATTTCACCAGTTTAAACATTTCTTCCTCGTAGTTTTCCTGTTCGTGTATCTTGAAGTATTGTACAACTGTGTGGTTTGCAATGTGTTTTAGTTCTTGAATCTTTTTCTTGATAATTGACTTGTACAGGAACTTCTTAGGTGGAAAACTGATGGGGCTAGATTAAGATTATGCAGAGATGCCATAGAACTTCCAACTAAGCTTTTCTCTGGTTTGACACCCTGTGTGAGGTTGGCATCATCATGCAGAAGCCTCAGTCTAGTCTGTAATGGCCTTGGTTTCTTCTGTTTAATGACTTCATGCAATTTACTGCATTTAGTGGGAGNAAAATAATTATATCATTTGATTTCAAGATATTTTGTATACCTTAAAAATAACTAATTCTATCCCGGGAAACAGTTCACTTTTATCCCGGGATCCCAAGATAAGCAAAAGACCGAGAAATGAGAAACCCTAGTCTCTGATGAATCTAAAGTAGCCAATTATTTATGGTAAAAGTCCAGTTTACCTTATACACATTTGGAATCTTCAAAAGTGTTGTGTTCAGAGTATTAAATAAATTATAAACATAGAAATGAACAATAATTAGATTATCAAAACACACCTTAATCGAAATAATTTATTGAAAACAAACTAATGTTTTCAGCCTAATCCATACACTATTCTCAGGTTAAACCAGAAGATTGGAACATTGGTTTTTATAATATTTTACATTTATTTACAATATATGTGTAATAATAATTGAACAAAATCATACAAAGAATCTTTTATACAAATACAGTACGAGTATTTTTAAAATTTACTTTAACATCTNATGATGTTTATTATAAAAGGTTCTTCTTTTAATAACAATAAATAACCTTTACTTTCGGTGACAAAACTTTAATAATTCGTTAAACAAATGCTTTTGATCTTACACATTTTTGGTTCTTATCTTTGATAACAGCAGAGATTTTGAGCAAAGAATGGTCACTTCAAAGTGAAGTAACCATTCTTTGCTTTTGTGCTCCTCAGTGAGCAGTTTCGGAACCCAGCAACAAGCCACTTTACAAAACTTTAAATCTGAGGTGATGTCACAAACAATGATTTTTAGAATGTCTTATTTCAGCGATTTTATGAACTTTGACCCTTCTATCAAACCATTGATAATGACACAATATTTATCAATGTTTGATGTCCTTTGTCTGCCTGTGTTCTTCTGAATCATCAATTGGTGAAGTTTGGCCATCTTTGAATTTATTACTGCTGAATTTGAAGGATGTAACTGAAAATTATTCCATTTTGTTTACTTGTCAAATTCAGACCAATGGATAAAGGAAAACAGTGTGTGTGTGGTTACTGCTGCTCTTTACCACATAGCCATATTTGTTTGTGACATTGAATTTGTGCATACAAGTTATGTATAAGCAACACCTATACCTTGAATATCATACTGCCCTCATATAATAAAACTCCATTAATAAATACATAAATTTAAACATTGTAATGAATATTTTATATTTCTTAAGATGTCAGAAAAATTTTTTATCAAACAAAAAACAATATATATACTTTGAAATAAATATAAACTTGGATAATGCTTAATTAAAGTGAAGAGGAAGTGAATAAATAAGTGAATATGTGAATGCTTACAGCTTCAGACTCTGAAAAATAATCTTTGAATCTGACTGAACAGCATTATGTTGTACACTATTCACATGGAAATGAGTTGAAAGTAAGAACTTAATATTAAGAATCATGTGAAAACATAACCATTAAATTAAACTAACATTTAAACTGAATAAATTGAATAAATTAATAGAACTAAATACAAACATGCGAAAATATTTTCTAAAAAGTCAAAAGACAATTGATTTCCAGCATTTTTGGCAATGATGCAACATCTTTCAAATTAACAATATTGTTAGAGGCCATTTGTAAAAATTCATAACTTTTTAGCTGTAGCAATATTTCCATTATGGTATATCATTTTAAGGCCCACCAGTGGCCAAGCGGTTCCATTCCCTGAACATTGGAAGTTTGTTATGTGTTTGCACCTCACCAGGACGGGCTGGCCATGTGGAGTTTTCCGAGTTTTCTCCACATCTGTAATGTCTGAATAGGGGCCAGTTACCCTTAAAAAGACTTCCCGAAAGACATCCCCTTTAGGCAGATCGCCCAAGAGTTGCATTGTTGTAACTTAATAAACGAACAAACAGTATACCATTTTAAATAAATATTTTCAAGGCTTTCCAGATCTCATTTGCAGATTTCAATAGTTTATTTAGAATAGCAATTTTCTAGAACAAATGACATTCATTATGAGTGTTATAATTTCCAAATTTAATAATGTTCAAAAAGAGTTTGATTTTACAGTAGAGTCTCGAAAACTCGGCCTAATGTGGACCGAAGTGTGGCAGAGTTTGTAAAAATGCCGGGTTATCGGGAATGGGGTTAAAAAAGGATAAGTATGCATGTTTCCTCAGAAAATATTGTACTGTACTTGTATGTATTGTTTGCTTGAGAATACAACAGAGAATAAATTGCCCAAATACCCTTAAACAAAGGAAAAGTACGTCCTTTATGAAGACATAGAGCCTTTACTACATGAAAATGAAAATTAATGAATACACTGTGTACAGTAATTTACCCGATAAGACAGACCTCAGAAAAATACTTTATGAGAGCTTTTATACTTTTATAAAGCTGTCTATAATGAAAATTAATTAACTAAGGAT